GCCCATGAGCAAGGGACTCAATCCTAATTGCTCCTGTAAGTGTCTACTAAATGACTAAAATGTAGATGTTGTAGGATCTGTGATGCACACTCCTATATGCCCACTAATGAAGCTGAGAGCTGTAATCATACAGATACTGGGTCAGTAAGTAAGGGTATCTCCAGGGTGGGGGTGTCCTTCCCCAGCTCCCCACTGGAATTGGTTTCATTGGATTAGCTGTGCTTGTGCAGTAGGTTACACTAACACTACTGCATACCAGAACAAACCAGCTTTATCAGGACTATAGCTTGACCCAGACATGAGCCTTGTTTGGTAAAAGACCATGTCTATATTTTGGCAAGAACAGCTCAAATAAGCAAAGAGAAACAACAGTCCATCATTACTTTAAGACATGAAGGTCAGTCAAAAAGGAACATTTCAAGAACTTTGAAAGTTTCTTCAAGTGCAGTCGCAAAAACCATCAAGCGCTATGATGAAACTGGCTCTCGTGAGGACCGCTACATGAATGGAAGACCCAGAGTTACCTCTGCTGCAGAGGATAAGTTCATTAGAGTTACCAGCCTCAGAAATTGCACCCCAAATAAAAGCTTCACAGAGTTCAAGTCACAGACACATCTCAACATCAACTGTTCAGAGGGGACTGTGTGAATTAGGCCTTCATGATCGAATTGCTGCAAAGAAACCAAACTTTTGACTGGTACTCTAGTTATTTTAAGAACTTCGAATTTATCAATAATTCAGTGGTGGAAAAAGTACCCAGTTGTCATACTTGAGAAAAAGTAAAGATACCTTAATAGAAAGTTACTCAAGTAAAAGTGAAAGTCTGCCAGTAAAATACTACTTGAGTAAAAGTCTAAAAGTATTTGGTTTTAAATATACTTAAGTATCAAAAGTAAATGTAATTGCTAAAAGATACTTAAGTATCAAAAGTAAAAGTATAAATCATTTAAAATTCCTTATATTAAGCAAACCAGACGGCACCATTTTCTTGTTCTTAAAATGTATGGATAGCCAGGGGCACACTCCAACACTCAGACATTATTTACAAAAGATGCATGTGTGTTTAGTGAGTCCGTCAGATCAGAGGCAGTAGGGATGACCACGTGTTCTCTTGATAAGTGTGTGAATTTGACAATTTTCCTGTCCTGCTAAGCATTCAAAATGTAACGAATACCTTTGGTTGTCAGGGAAAATGTATGAAGTAAAAAGTACAATATTTTCTTTAGGAATGTAGTGAAGTAAAAGTAAAAGTTGTCAAAAATATAAATAGTAAAGTAAAGTACAGATACCCCAAAAAACTACTTAATTAGTACTTTAAAGTATTCTTTACTTAAGTACTTTACACCACTGCAATAATTTCGGGAATTTCCCTGGAGAGCCATGACCCATCTCAGTATGACATGGAAAGTGCTTGTTAATCACTTCTTATAACTCTCATCATGACCAAGTTACCTAGTAAAACACATGGATAAAAAAGCACTGTAGGCTTATACCAATGGAAAGAAATCAGTCACATTAGGGTACATCGCATAGTGTGAGATTCTATTTCTCTAAATTATTATGAGACATTTCCAGTACTTTCTTCTCACAAATATCCCCCTGCCCCTTCCCATATTCTGTGGCTCATATCTTCAGACGGCGCTAGGAAACGTTAAATAACTCATTGAATTCAGTGCGACTATGCCAACGCCTGGCCCCAACACGGCTACATATTGAAAACTAGCTGATTAGCATGCCTTCTGCAATATCTCTAGTACTCCTTATCACCTTGATCAAAACAGCCAGCTTACTACAGCAGGGCCCCACTCATGACCAATCAGAATCCACTTCCTCCACTGAGTGCAAATCAGGAACCAATCAGAAGCCATTAGGACAGAGCCCTGAGCACTTACTGTTAATTTGCTCAATGAATGCCACCATGTTGTAGACTGAAGAGAAGTAATTTAGCATTGATTGGAAAACTTAAATGTAACTTAATTTATGTACCCTCTTTAATCCAATTTAACTCAGAGAGTACAAGCCCTATTTGATTAAATCCAGTAACTGGGTTTTGGGGATAACATTATAAGTAAGGACATTTTATAGCAGGACAGCACATACTGTACCAGAGGCTACACAACAAGTGGGTTATTGATAAACTGATACTTGGACTCGTGACACATGGACATAAACACAAACACACACAATCTCTCTCACAAACACACACACACACACACACACGTTCACACACACACACACACACGCACACACACACACACACACACACACACACACACACACACACACACACACACACACACACACACACACACACACACACACACACACACACACACACACACACACACACACACACACACACATCACAGGGGTCAAGGAAAAAGTACACAAAGATTCATCTCTGGCTTTTGGAAGTTGTCAGGTAAAACTGACTGCAAGGGAGATGGAGGAGAGAGAGAGACATTAGTCTCATGTTGCTACAGATGGGTTCGCTTTCTGCAGAGGCAAGAGAAGCCTCACTCAGTACCTTCACCTGAAAGTGTCAGACACAACAGCAGCTGTAGGCCTAGATGATATGGCTCACAGACAGATGGAGCGTCGTCATATCCCGGCTACAACTGAGACATCTATACAGGGTGAGACAGATAGCGTTCAGCTGCAGAAGTTTAGTATAATGCTAAAGTATCATGGTTTAGATGGGGTGGGAGGGAGAGATACAGAGGGAGAGGAAGTGTGTGTTTGTTTGTGTGTGTGTGTGTGTGTGTGTGTGTGTGTGTGTGTGTGTGTGTGTGTGCGTGTGCGTAGACTAAGAGTTAAGAGACAGCAGCAGTGTTGTTACACATCAAGAACACACATAACCATGGCAAAACATGTGAAGCAATTACAAGGCAGGATTAGTTTTACCTCCGTTCCAGCCATTATTATGAGCCGTCCTCCCCTCAGAAGCCTCCGCTGATTCAGACGCTGTATTGTTTTGCTGGACATGCATACAAAGTCAATTACTAGTGCTTTCACCTCATAGTCTTCATAATGTTGAGCTACAGCTGGAGTGAATGTTATTTCTATGGCATACTAGTATTCAAATTCTATAGAACTTCAAATTCTATAGAACTCATTCAAATTCTATAGAACTACTCATAGAAGTACAGTTACTGTAAATGAGTCTAATGACAGTCTATTCGTGTTATGTGACTCACAGTGTGACTGGCTCTAACTACATGGAGGTTTCAAAGGCAAAGAGAATAGGAGAATAATGATTTTCTGTCCGTCCTCCATTTTCCTTTCATCAATCTGTAGAATCATCTTTAGTCAATATACTGTATCTTACTATGACACACGCAGTGGACGATTCTACAGGGGTTTTGCTGAGATAAGTTCGCAGACATTGAATGATGTAATTTTGCATCAGTTATTCACACTTTGAAATTGTGAATTGTATTTGGTCTACTTTGAACATTCCTTTTTAACATCTTGTCCAAAGGAATCAAGAACATGTACTTGTAAGAGCAAGATAAGTCCATTGAAGAACTGGTGTACTATAGGGACCTCTTGTGGTCACAAGCGGCTCTCACAGGGTTGTTGTCTACTTGAGTTAGATCAACCTCTCACAATATGTGGCCTACTTCTTTGGAACATTTAATATTTCATGACGTTTCCACTTAGCCTGACTGAAAAACAATGCAATCAAACTAGTTTAGCATAATGACTAGACATTATTTCACATTGTATTGAAATATCTGATATATGTTTAGTTTGTCATTCATATTTTACATATTTACACACATTATATACACATTTAAACCTTTTGTAAAACAATTTAGGGGAAAAACTACATACAACTTGATCAGAGATTTCACTTCTCCTGTGGAAATCCTTCACTTCTGCTGCATAAAAGTCACTGTGTCGCCACGGAGAGATGACTTCCTCTTGGAAGAGAAAGCAGTCCATTGATGCTCATATAAAGAAATGAAAAGACTGTCATGGCGCAGTATTTTGGGATGGCAAAAGATATTGCTACATGTACTTCCCTAATGAAATAGCACGCAGTATGGGTGCATCTCAATAGTCTAAAGTGGCTTCCTTTCCTCCTTTCCTCCTTTCCTTCATCCTCACTGGGCACACGCTGGTTGAATCAACGCTGTTTCCACGGAATTTCAATGAACCAACGTGGAATAGACGTTGAATTGACGTCTGTGCCCAGTGGGTCTGCACATATGTCGTTGGATAGAGTTGGATAGAACAAATACCTGATATACAGTACCAGTCAAAAGTTTGGACACACCTACTCATTCAAGGGTTTTTCTTTATTTTTAATATTTTTTACATTGTAGAATAATAGTGAAGACATCAAAACTATGAAATAAATCACAGACAGTGTCAACAGCAAAGCACACCCACACCATAACACCTCCTCCTTCTTTACGGTGGGAACTACACATGTGGAGATCATCCATTCATCAGATGACCTCCACAATCCCCCGACCTCAACCCAATTGAGATGATTTGGAATGAGTCAGACGGCAGAGTGAAGGAAAAGCAGCCAATAAGTGCTAAGCATATGTGGGAACTCCTTCAAGAATGTTGGAAAAGCATTCCAGGTGAAGCTGGTTGAGAGAATGCCAAGAGTGTGCAAAGCTGTCATCAAGGCAAAGGGTGGCTATTTGAAGAATCTCAATTATAAAATGGTTTAACACTTTTTTGGTTACTACATGATTCCATATGTGTTATTTCATAGTTTGTATGTCTTCACTATTATTCTACAATGTAGAAAATAGTAAAAATAAAGAAAAACCCTTGAATGAGTAGGTGTGTCCAAACTTTTGACTTGTACTGTAGGTAATCACCATATTGCTTCACATTTGCTTTATATTCAGATCAGTGCAGATGAGGAAGTAGAGAAGAAAAGAGGAAGCAGCGTTAGACTATTGAGATGCACCCTCACTCACAGGGGTTGTGGTGGAAACCACATGTCCTGGTCTCTAGTGCACTAGTCTATATAACTCAGCACATCACTGTCCCCTTCCATTTTCACTCTTTCTCGCTTCTCTCTCACACACACACTCTCTCAATCATCCTTTCACCATGGGCAACTTTGCTGCCAACGAGGGACTTTCGGTCTTTGTCATTGTAAGTCTGTCAAGTTCAATTCTATAATTACTCTACATTTCTGTTTTGGGGTGTAATGTCCTACTGTTCTAACCAGGGGAATTGGGTCTGTTTTAGCTGGTCTGGCTGGGAATCAACGCTTACCTGTTTGTCCAGTTCTACATGAACTTCCTTACTGAGAGATGGTTCTATACACGGGTCCTCCTTGGGGTAAGTTTGAGAACCAACCGAAAGTCATTCGATTTTTTTCAAGATCGTTTCTATTTAAGAAATGATTTAAGAAATGGAGGTCAGTTTAAGATTGCATACTGTGTTCTTACTGTATTATTAATCTTGGCAACCCAGAACCAGATCTTGAGTGAGTGCTGACCTCTGGCCAACTGTTGTCGTCTGTCAACAGGCCTGCTGTACTATGTACACTGTATTCAGTATGTGGACCGTAATTATTATAATAATTGTTTACATTCTACACGTTTATTATATAGTACTAGGTCAATCATATTGAATATGTGTAGTGTATATTATACCTAACCTCTATTGTGTGACAGAGATTGAAACAAAAAAATAATCACACTTTGATGCGCTATCTTTACTCTGTGGTTACAGCTGGGTGCACGGCTGATTACATGTTCCTCACAGGCAGCCCAGGTGGCTAGACTAACAGTAGTAATGACCAGAAGTGAAACTGGGTCTGCACTCTACGTCCCTCTCACTCCTCTCAGTCCCTGAGGGCCCCTTTCAATTGAAACCAGTAACCAGAAGTAAAAAAAACATAGATTCAAACTGTACAAATTGTTACGTTCGACTAATGATTCCCACTTCTTCTCTCTCTCCTTCTCTCTATCTAACCCTACTCTCTCTCTACCCCTCTCTATCTAACCCAACTCTCTCTCTCCCCCTCTCTATCTAACCCAACTCTCTCTCTCCCCCTCTCTATCTAACCCTACTCTCTCTCTCCCCCTCTCTATCTAACCCTACTCTCTCTCCCCCTCTCTATCTAACCCAACTCTCTCTCTCCCCCTCTCTATCTAACCCTACTCTCTCTCTCCTCCAGCATGCCCTCTCCTGGGCCAGGGCTCCTGCAGCCTGCCTCAACTTTAACTGTATGCTTATTCTGCTGCCAGTCTGCCGGAACCTTCTGTCCTTCCTCCGCGGCTCCATCCAGGTAACACACACACACCCCAACCCTATTTTATCCAAATGTGTATGGATAATCATCTATAAATAATTGCTGGGTCACATAAAAAAAAAAAAATCTTACACATTCAGTGTTGCAGTCGCACAGCTGCTCGACAACTGGACAGAAACATCACCTTTCACAAGCTGGTGGCTTACATGATAGCATTTCACACAGGTACCCTACTCACTTAATTAGTTTGGTTTACATTTGCCTTTGATTATTTTCATTCGTTGTCATCAAACAGATGTCTCTGTACAGATAGTAATCTCTGCTTTGCCTGCGTCCTTCCCTAGCGGTCCACATCGTCGCCCACCTGTTTAACTTTGAGTGGTTCATGGGAGCCCAGCTGGACAGGAACAGCAGCTCTTTGCCCTTTGTGTTGTCACAGATTGGCATCGGAGACAACGCCTCCTACCTAAACCCCATCAGGACCGACCAGACCGTCAGTATTCTATTAGCTACACATTTTCATTGTTCATTGTGTTTATAACTGCCTAGGACACATTGTTCATTGTGTTTATAACTGCCTAGGACACATTGTTCATTGTGTTTATAACTGCCTAGGACACATTGTTCATTGTGTTTATAACTGCCTAGGACACATTGTTCATTGTGTTTATAACTGCCTATGACACATTGTTCATTGTGTTTATAACTGCCTAGGACACATTGTTCATTGTGTTTATAACTGCCTAGGACACATTGTTCATTGTGTTTATAACTGTCTAGGACACATTGTTCATTGTGTTTATAACTGCCTAGGACACATTGTTCATTGTGTTTATAACTGCCTAGGACACAATGTTCATTGTGTTTATAACTGCCTATGACACATTGTTCATTGTGTTTATAACTGCCTAGGACACATTGTTCATTGTGTTTATAACTGCCTAGGACACATTGTTCATTGTGTTTATAACTGCCTAGGACACATTGTTCATTGTGTTTATAACTGCCTAGGACACATTGTTCATTATGTTTATAACTGCCAAGACACATTAATATGTCTTATTTAGCTGTTAGAAAAGGGTTTATGAATCTATAAAGCATTACAGAGTATTCCTGTTTATTATATAGCTATGTCAAGAGGTCAGTTCTGACCAAGGTCAGAATGTTGACACATCATAGCAGATTATGACAGGTAGGAATCCCCCAGCATATAAATAGAATGACTGAATAGAATGCTATGTCCCCCAGCATATAAATAAAATGACTGAATAGAACGCTACTGTATTTCTAAATCCCCCAGCATAGAAATAGAATGACTGAATCGAATGCTACTGTATTTCTATGCCCCCCAGCATAGAAATAAAATGACTGAATAGAATGCTATGTCCCCCAGCATAGAAATAGAATGACTGAATAGAATGATACTGTATTTCTATGTCCCCCAGCATAGAAATAAAATGACTGAATAGAATGCTATGTCCCCCAGCATAGAAATAGAATGACTGAATAGAATGATACTGTATTTCTATGTCCCCCAGCCCATAACACACTATGACTCCTTCATTACTCTTTGGCTGCCTCCTCTGAACAGAGATATATATGTCTAAAAACAGATCATAAAATGGTTAGCTAATTTCCCACTCCTTGTAATATTAAAGCAAGTTCATTATGCTGAATCTGAGGGAAGCATTTCTGAACAATACGACTTCCCTAAATAGGTTGAGCAGATAGTTCCAAACACAGCCTCCACACTCCCTCTGAGGCAACAACATGACTGCATTACTTCAGTGTTGTTTTATCATCATGGTGTATGTTGACATCTGAAATCCCACTTCTCTGATTGGGTCAGAACCCAACCATAGTGATGTTCACCACCATCGCGGGGTTAACGGGCGTGGTCATCACCCTGGCCCTCATCCTTATCATTACATCATCCATGGAGGTCATCCGCAGGTCATACTTCGAGGTCTTCTGGTACACCCACCACCTCTTCATCATCTTCTTCATCGGACTCGTCTTCCACGGCTTCGGGTGAGTCAGTGAAAACTCTCACAATGGTGTGTGCACATTCATTGTTTCTCCATAACACCCATTTTGAGTCAGTTGAACATTTCCTACAGAGACATAACATATGATTAGCCTCATAATAAGATATTAAAAAGGCTCATACATGCTTATGACAAGTAATAAAAGCATTATACCTGCAGGTTAAGCCCTACCGTTTTTATGTCTAAATCTCTCTAAAACGGTTTGCCACAGGCGAATTGTCAGAGGGCAGACTGCTACAAGTCTCCAGGAGCACAAGCCATCGCAGTGTGCAGATCGGTTTGAGTCATGGGGAGAGAACGGGACCTTCTGCTCTAAGCCTGAGTTTGCTGGGAACCCTCCTATGGTGAGCTATGACAGTTCGGTTTTTTACATGACTTAAGTGTGCTGATTCTTTTTTGTAAATAACATTTTCTCTATCGGTTTCCTCTTCAGACATGGAAGTGGGTGGTGGGGCCTATGATCCTGTATGTGTGTGAGAGACTGGTCCGATTCTACCGCTCCCAACAGAAGGTCGTAATCACCAAGGTCAGTCTTGTGTTTCACGCCAGCTTGTACACTCCCAACAGGCAATTTCTATTAATTTCTTACATTTTTCTAACGGGCCATTTCTTTTCTATTCAAAGCCAGTGTGATTGAGACAGTCCGTGATTGAGACAGTCAGCGTTGTTAGAAGGCAGCCCTGGCTGAGAACCAGCATCATGCACTATGCAGTTCACGTCTACTCATCCAACAGTTAGCTGTCTCTTTTAGCCTCCATCTTGTTTGTCTCCCATCTGTCTCTTCTCTCCAGGTGGTGATGCACCCGTCCAAGACCCTGGAGCTACAGATGAAGAGGAAGGGTTTCAAGATGGAGGTCGGCCAGTACGTCTTCATGCAGTGTCCCTGTGTCTCCCAGCTGGAGTGGCACCCCTTCACACTCACCTCCGCCCCAGAGGAGGACCACTTCAGCGTCCACATCCGTATCGTGGGTGACTGGACCCAGGGCCTGTACGAGGCCTGTGGCGGGGACAAGAACGAGACACAGGAGGCATGGAAACTGCCCAAGTACGTGGTTGAATGCAGAGAGCGAACATTTTCTACGAACCCGTCCCCTTAACTAACCTGCGGTTAAATATCCATTAGGTTGAATATTAGGTTTTTAAACAGCCATTTCTGCGCTTAATGTCCCATACTTGACATCATAGTGTACAGTTGGTGGGCTGTCATTTAGAATATGAGGATGGGGTAGTAGTGTTTCCTTTTTACTGTGAAATAACAGTGAGGGGAAGTGGCATAAGAGAGGATATATGTGGTACATTTCAATAGAGAGGTCTAATGGCAACATTGTGTAATTGTTCAACCAGAAAGTATCCAGTAGATTAGATTCTTTAATGTTTTTACCATAGAAATGCAATTAGAAGACTATTAAACTGTTTATATGACTGTAACTCTCTCCCTGTATGCAGAATGGCGATAGATGGCCCATTTGGTACGGCCAGTGAGGACGTGTTCGGCTACGAGGTGGTCATGCTGGTGGGTGCTGGCATCGGGGTCACCCCGTTCGCCTCCATCCTCAAGTCAGTGTGGTACAAACACATGCAGGAGAACCAGAACGTCTTCACCAAGAAGGTGAGAGATCGGCTCTGTCTGTCTGTTTTTTCTCTTTCTAAATTGCAGTGTTAAGGGTACTTCCCCATTTCATTCCACCAATGTTTCAGCTGAAATGTTCTTCATTGCATCGTGATTTACTTTTCTATTTCATTTCATCAAGTGAGAGAAATCTCACTGCCATGAGTGCAATGTTAATTTATTTTCAACGTTTGCATCGTTCCTTTAGTCAGCTCTAAACTCATTGTTATATGTCCAATATGTGATTCAAAATTCAAAAGGCACTCGCACATATGAGCTATCTTCGTTGCAGGTGCATAGTAACAGTTTAATAAGATGAGAAAAAATAAGAAGCCCACACACAGCTCTTCCTAGTATCGCTGCTCTTTATTAAGCTTCACGTTGCGGCCTCAAGGCCTTCTTCAGAGCTTTGTTTTGTCCAATATGTGAAACGGACAATCTTTCTTCCATCTCCTCCGTGCCAGATCTACTTCTATTGGCTGTGTCCTGAGACCCAGGCCTTTGAGTGGTTTGCTGACCTGCTGCAGTCTCTGGAGGGCCAGATGACAGAGAAAGGCATGGTGGACTTCCTCAGCTACAACATCTACCTGACCCGCTGGAAAGAGACCGAGGTCAGCACACCACACTTTTCAGCAGGGGCGCAACTTTGGTTTTAGAAGTGGGGGGGACATCATTTTTTTTATCCCTTCGGATAAACACTCCAAACAGCCTAGCCGACCGCTCGGAGATGTCCGCATGGTCCTAAAGCACACCTTTGCCTCGTTTTGTATCAGATTCCAATGATAAAACTGGGGGGACAAAAATGCAATTTCAGAATGTGGTCACTTATCCCCCCCCCACCCTTTATGTCATATGTACAAAATAAGAATGAAAACTAAAAAAGCTGCGTTCTCTCTTTAAAATAATAACTATTGCCTGTAGATGAGAGCGGGACAATGCATAATCACAATATGTATTTATGTTTTTACAAAAGGCTGCTCACTTCAGAGTTCACCATGAGGCGGAGAATGACCCTATCACAGGGCTGAAGCAGAAGACTCTGTATGGGAAACCTAACTGGGACAATGAGTTCACTACGATTGGGACAAAGCATCCAGAGTGAGTGCCTTTCAGCCTCTTCTATTCCAAACAGAATTTGCATATTCCAGAGAGAGACATATTTGAGTTAGATGTACTCAAATTGTAAAACGTGTTACATGTATAGTTCACAACATGTGGACTATTCGTAATGAATGTGTGTGTGTGTGTGTCCAGGAAAAAAGTAGGAGTGTTCCTGTGCGGTCCCACCCAGCTGGCTGACGTCTTGGGGAAGCAGTGCCTGTCTCACTCTGAGGCTGGTGTCAAGTTCATCTTCAACAAGGAAAACTTCTGAGACCCCAACACCCCTCCAAGAGCACCAACAAGGCAATAGCAATATTCCTACTTTGTTATCAAAGTTAACTCTCAATATCACTCAGACCCAGAGTATCCTCTGGATTGTAAGCCATTTCACATTCCTAAACTGTTGTGTTGTTCTCCCCAACATAAACAATCAATGGTTTTTAATATGGATTCTCTGGGTGAATTGAACAAAAATTATACTTAAGTGCCCTTATCTCACACATCAGTTGATCAAATCATAGCACCAAAAATGGAAGTGAACTTCACTGTTCTAATGATCCTGACCTACAACACGCCTCAGTGACATTTCACAATGTGTTTCTTGCAGAAATCTGTGAAGAAATTACCAAACCTACCCGCATTTACCACAGAGGCCAGAACGTTACTCTTGTTCTGCAATACAACATGCAAACATGGAAACTTTTCAAAACTCTCTAGTTTCACTTCTTCCTGTTTCTGGTGTTGTATTTGCAAGTTTGTATAAGCAAAATAGTGTGCATAAAGCTTACTTCATTTAAAAACATATTTTATTTTCACTGCATCAGGGATAGCTTACCAGACGTTTTGGCTTTGCAGCCTTCTTCACTGTGTAGGTAAAGCTAAAGTTAGTATAAAATGAAAATACGCAACAACAAAAAGCTGTTTGGGATGTGATATTCATGTTATCCCAGCTGCAGCTTCTCCTGCTGGACTCAATAGCAGCTGAGTTTCGGTAGGCTGGCCAAGTGAGTGACACATTTCATTGAACGGTGAGCCCACTGAGACATGTCAGTCCTATGTGTGTGTGTACGTGTGTTAGTTCAGCTTCTCTTTTTACTGAGGTCAGAGAGTCAAAGAAACCCAAAGCGCTGGTGAGGAAAAGTCTTGTAACTAGACTGCATAAAGTACTGTAATAATGCTTGGCTAGAGTTGTTAAATACCTATGGACCTGCATGGTGTTGTATTCGTGCTGCTTGATATAACAATAGAACAGTCACACACAAACAGCATAAAATGGTTTAATTTGAACGTTTGATGACATTCAGTTATGGGTCCTAGAGTCTATCGATGGCACCTTGCACACCAGGCACATTATTATTTCTATGGAAACTTATGTTTTTTCTTCTTTGTTTGTTTAAACAATGATTGCAACTTGAAATCGTGTCTGTATATAATATCCTGTGATCTGTTTACATAGCATTTCCTAAAGCAGGTTAATCTGATCTCTAACTGTGATGTCAAATAATGTACATAATAAACATGGATTTTCCTCACCCTATATCAAGGAAGTGGGACAATCATACAAATATAAGCACACACCAAAATAATTAGAAGTAAACCCAACATTATAGTTGGACCATTGGTAAAGTAAGGTAGCAGCTTTGAAGCCAAGCTTTCATAATACGAAGATTTCAACTGATGCATTTAAAGTCAATGAATAAAGTATCTTCAGGGTAGACAGCATTTCAGCCCATCCAGAGCATTTCAATAGATGTGGTAAAGAGGTCAATGGAAAGCAAACCGTGGGGGTAGAAGGACGCCGGATTTGTGCACATTCAACAAATCTGATCGAACAAAATGGATATTCATCAAATCCGTCATAATTGATGTATTGTACCAGGCCCACAATGTGGTTACTAAAGTCCGATTTGGATATATTTGGCTGTTTTCCCTGCAAAACATTTAGAAGTAGTCCCTTTTCAGGTTTAGAAGAAGTGACTGCTAAATGATAACTACCATTCGTATAAGCTGGTAGCATAGCTAGCATACAGAAGTTGGTGGTGGTGGTCAAAGTCATTTATTACATTGTTATTGATTATTGCATTGTTGGGTTTTGAGTTTGCAAGAAAGGCATTTCACTGTACTTGTGCATGTGACATTAAAAACTTGAAACTTGATGACATGATCATTCATTGTGAAATACACATACACAATAACCTTATTTTGTTGGAGGGCAATTAGGAGATTCAGGATCTTTCCCACACGCGTTTCCATGACATTTCCATTGTTTTGGTCGAGTTCCATTGACCCCTTTACCGCATCTATAGCCGTCTCTCTGCTTGTCCCATTCAGCATAGAATGTACAGTGAGCTACTGATTACTGAATACCTCCCCCTGCCAGATGGGTGAAGCATTGCACCCTCTCTCTCAGAAGTATCAGGGTTGGTCCTGGTCTAGGGGGTTAAGGCCACAGCAAACACACTGACCACACAGTACATAGTGCGGTTCTCCCATTTCACTGTGCAGCTCCCTGAAAGAAAGGAACAGACAGTGCATGGGTCAGTTTGATAAGCAGTAGCAGTGTTTCCTAGGCAGCTGGGGAGGGCTGCTTTAGTGAAGAGACGTGGTTCCACCCCAATGATGACACTCACCTGTTTCGTTCAATGAAAGAAGATTTGAAATAGACAAGATGGCGGTGTACACATTGTCGATTACTTCAATGAGCAAAACAATTATTTTTATAACGGAGCATTTTCTAAATTAAAAACGCACCACCTGCCAATGGACACAGACATTTTAGAATATACATGTTTGGCCGAATCAAGAACGAAGATAGTATCGCCAAGTTAAGGTTGGTCATACATTTTCTGTGCTACACCAAACAGTACCTAACCTGTAACTCCCAGTAATGGATACCAAAAATGTATGGTTAAATCCCATTACCTGGTGTAACAACCTGTAGCTAGGAAAGGCTTTGAACTGAGCAGTGGTCGATGTTATCTTACCATCAGTAACCGTGTCCCAGTAGCAGGAGTTAGCTGTGAACTGAGCAGTGGTCGATGTTATCTTACCATCAGTAACCGTGTCCCAGTAGCAGGAATTAGCTGTGTGGAGACCAGCACCACTCTTCTGCATGACAGCACAGTTAACTGTAGAGAGAGGTACAGGCAGGGGTCAAATCATAATCACAATGTCAATAAGCAATTGTGTTTTGTCACATATGGTTTCACCACTGGCACCATACAATAGGTTTGTATGCTGGATCTACGATAAAATGAACAAGTCTGTGTGTTCAATAGGAGATGACGGCAGCCATACCAATGTACTTGTATGACTTAGTCTGTTTGACCAGCAGGGTGAGGGCTTGCTCCACAATCTTGGCTGTCCACTGGTTCACAGTGTCCTGTCTGTAGCTCTCTTCTCCAATGATACTCTGAATGCACTGCAAGATGGACACACACACAGTTCTGAGAAGGCTGGCCCCTGAAGGCATGTGGGAGCATGGGACCTGATGTGAACAGTGCTGTATTCAGTCACGTCTATACTGGGGATGTGACTGAGTGTCTTTAGTAATCGGGAAAACCAGACCGCGAGGCTGGATATAGTTTCACATGATACCTCACTGTCAATTTACACGAAGTATTTGCTAGCTAAAACTATGTATTTTAAAAGCCATCTTAACATCAATATTCCCATTTGGTTATTCAAACGTATTTCAACGTCTTGACGCTTACTCAATAGATAGTAATTACCTCTTTCACGGAGTTACTGGCCTCTTCTGAGTTGAAAGAGCCCTAGAAACAATGTACCAGTGATGAGTCAGATAGACTAGCATTAGCATCTCTTCAACTCACCACACCTTTCACTGCAGTTAGAATGGTCAAAATTCTAGGACTGAAACTGAGATGCACAGTAATATCAAGGTAGTTAGGTAAATGCTGTAACTCAGAGATTATGGCTAGGTTGTTTAAACAATAGCTTGGAAGTTGTCTTTTCCACTGTATGGCTATTTGGCTAGCTAGGGAGCTAGCTATCTAGCTGGATCGCGTTGTTGTGCCAGCTAGCTATCTACATTTTCGATTTAATACTCAAGAGTATCGCAACGAAATAGTTGGTAGCATATTCAGTACCTCTTCACCAGAAAATTCCTCCATTCTCGCCTTCTTAAAAGTGATAGAAATAGCTGCTTTTCCAGTGAAAATCTACTTGATAAATATTTGAGATTTCCTGTTTGCTGTCACAGGTGGTTAACGAGTGGAGCGAAGCAGGTCACAGCCCCAAGAAATGAACTGAGGTTATGTGAACACTGCCACCTAGCGAGCCTAAAAATAACACAGGATAAAAGAGAATGGCACTTTCCAGATGTCTCTCGTTGCATTATAAAGTGGAAAATGATCAAAGCTTTTACATAAAGTTGTTTTACTAGTATCCAAATCATGAGATGATTGTCACACCAGAACCAAGTTCAAACAGTTTATGAGAGGGTGAAAATAAAATATCAGAACACACACAAACTTCCTCATTTTCCCCTGAAAAACACACAATAAGGTTACATTTAAAGTGCAATTGTGCATTTGGGATATTTCAGTCAGCAATAAATAGTATATTTACATCCTCACAGTTTATAACACACGACTACGTTATAAAAACACGATCAAAAACACACTGTGGTTAAATACATTTTTGTGTGTGGTAAATGCAGAAAATACAAGTATACATATTTATAATAGGCATTTCACATATGGGAAGTTTGGGAACTGAATGTCAATAAATAGGTCACTTTGTGAGAAGTTAGCTAGTGGTCAAAGTGGAATGGTTGTTTGTGGTGTACAGTCAATGTGCATCCTCTTCAAGGCACAAGGGTTTTCATTGGTTGTTGGTGCTGCCAGTCCAGTCCTCCAACCCCCAGTGAGTGGAGTCACAGTAGGGTGCAGGTGGTAGAGCGTGCACCTCTACCACCTGGGTGCAAGGGGGCTCTCAGAGGGGGCTGGGCACCACTAGCGCTGGTCTCTGATGGGTCTCTGCTCTTCAGTCCTGCAGAGGGACCCTTGGCACTGGCAGGTAGCTCCCCCACGCCGGTGCCCTCTGCTGGTGCTTCCACACTCTCCTCAGCCTGCTTGGCTTTGGAGGAGGACAGGCGTTTGAACAGCGACAGCTGAGGGCAGTAGAGAGGAGAGAACACAGTGAGATCTGACCTACTCAATCACTGACGTTCACAGAGCTTTATGAAGTGCTTTTCTGTTCTTTAACTTCTACTTCTTTGTTCCAATGGCTTTCTGTTATACCTTTCTGTTGGTCCCTGGTTGGCGCTTGGATTTCTCCTCGGTTGTTCGATTCTGCGGCTGAGTGCTGGATGCAGAGATCTCCTCTGTCGGAGCCAAAGGACTGGGCTGACCTGAGTCCTCTGTAACTGGACACAACAGACAGATACTTCATGATAATCCATCCACCCACAGCACAGAGACAGTAAAGCATTAACCACATAAACAGTTGAAGACAAAGGTCACCTGTTTGTCAGACATTTCAGAACATCTCTTTTATGCTCACCTTTCTGCACACCGTCTGGGAGAGTTTCTTCTTTCACACCCTCTGGTCCCTAGGAAGAGGGAATTCTGTCTTAGAAGTTAACAAACATACAGGTCCTAAATCTGTAGATTAGGGTAATCTGTAGGGTAGCGTACCTGGAGGGGTTCTGCTGTGAACTGGCTCTGACCCTGTACCGATTGTCCCTCCGTGTCCTGAGATTTCTCTATCTCCTCTGCTTTGTTCTCCTCATCATCTTCCTCCTCATCTTCCTCATCATCTTCCTCTTCATGTTCTTCCTCCTCTTTAGCTCGTGAATCCTGCAAAAAGGGATGGGAATGAGTGGAGCAGACTGGTTAAAACAAGCGATAGTAAAATAGGTAACATACAACTTAGTCACAGGGGAGAAACTACACAGGCACACACACACACACTGTTGAGGAAGTCAGCACTAAAAGAGACTAGAGGAAGACTAGAGGTGGTTGCTTCACATTGGATATGGATGGGGGAGTCACAACAGGGAGCTAAGGGATTACAGACATGGTTAAAGGAAGAAAATGGATCCCACCTGCCACTGGAACAGTTTAATGCAAACAGCACTATGTATTCATGTGTAGAGAATGTGTTCAACACAAATGATATGATATGGACCGTACGTGATGGGACTAGTTCTTGACACTGATTTTGATAGAGTTTTAGCACAACAAATATTTATTTAAACATAAATAAAACAATTCTGTAATATTCATTATATATAATAAGTCATGATAAAGAAAAAAGTTGTACAAAATCGTTGGAGAGCATACCTGGAAAATAGTAGCTAGTACTGGTAAATTGTCTTTACAGAAGAACAAAGTTGAAAAGGGGGTTCAAAAAAGCATTTAGGCATAAATTCTTAGCTGCCCTGTAACATGGTAAAGGTCTATACAAGGAGTTTGACAGACAATGCTGTTGACATGCAGTTGATATACATGAATAAAAACAGTGATAGACAGTAAAGATAGAACAATCTAAAGTACACAAAACACTATGGGTTGTAAAAAGGCATTAAAATGCTCAATGAAGAGTGTTGTTGAGAGAAGATGACAGACCGCACTGGTTTGGAACAGAACAGAACAGATAGGGCTATCATTTGAGATTGAGGTACTGAGGTAAAACATTGTCCCAGAACTCTTCCCCTTTCCCTGACCTCTGTTTGGACCCGTTACCTCTGGCTGCAACATTCTGATGACTCTCCCTGTCTTTCTTTGCTTTCTTTTTGTCAACCACCTCCTCCTCTTCTTCCTCCTCCTCCTCTGCCTCATCTTCACCCTCCTCTCCAGCTTCTTCTTCTTCCTCATCTTCACTCTCCTCCTCCTCCTCTTTTTCTTCCTCACTTTCACTCTCCTCCTCCTTTCTAGCTTCTTCCTCATCTTCACTCTCCTCCTCAGCTTCTTCCTTATCTTCACTCTCCTCCTCAGCTTCTTCCTCATCTTCACTCTCCTCCTCTCCTTCACTCTCCTCCTTCTCTCCTTCTTCCTCATCTTCACTCTTCTCCTCCTTTCCAGCTTCTTCCTCATCTTCACTCTCCTCCTCAGCTTCTTCCTCATCTTCACTCTCCTCCTCAGCTTCTTCCTTATTTTCACTCTCCTCCTCAGCTTCTTCCTCATCTTCACTCTCCTCCTCTCCTTCACTCTCCTCCTTCTCTCCTTCTTCCTCATCTTCACTCTTCTCCTCCTTTCCAGCTTCTTCCTCATCTTCACTCTCCTCCTCAGCTTCTTCCTCATCTTCACTCTCCTCCTCAGCTTCTTCCTTATTTTCACTCTCCTCCTCAGCTTCTTCCTCATCTTCACTCTCCTCCTCCTCTCCGGCTTCTTCTTCAGCCTCCTCCTCCTCACTCTTATCCTCTTCTTTCTCGTCCTCTGCAGTACTGCTCTCATCCTCTTCCTCTGCTTTTGTTCCACTGTCTGCCTCAGTCTCATATTCCTCATCTGCAGATTCCTCTACAGATCCTACACTCTCATCCTCTTCCTCACTTTCTTCCTCCTCCTCTTCATAATCAGATTCCTTACTCTTGCTCTCAGTGTCACTCTGCGATACTTCCCCACCCTCTTCCTCCTCCTCTACCTCACTCGCCTTGCTCTCTCCCTCCCCCTCTTCTTCCTCCTCTCCCACACTCTCTCCCTCTCCTCCCACCGGGCTACTCATCCTGTCACCCTCCTCTTCCTCCAGTCCACTCTCCTCTTTCTCTGCATCCTCTAACTCCCTCTCTTCTCCCCGATCTGTTTCAGTCTCACATTGCTCATCTCCTCCCTCGCTCTCCTCCTCTAATTCAGAGATCCCTCCATCCTCCTCCACCTTCACTGTGTCATCATCCTCACTCTCTTCCTCCTGCTTGGCTGGTGTCTGATCGTCGTTGCTCCCTGTCTCGTCTCCCCTCTCCTCCTGTCCTCCGTTGTCTGGGGGACCAGAGTAGGACCTGCATTCCTCCTCCTCCGCCACCTGATCAGAGCTCCCTGGAGCGGGGATGATGTTGATGCTGACTGCTGTTCTCTTGCCTCCTGGTTCAGAGGCCATGGATTTAGACGACTGGCTCCAGGAAGACTGGGCGTCCTCAGCACTCTGTCTGCTGAACCTCTGGGCCCTGCTCGGACTCTGGACGGACTCACTGTCTGAGGGAGAACCCAACTGTCTGGCTGCTGCCACTAGCCCCACGCCTGACACCAGAGAGGCCACTCCGGTCAGTAAGCTGCACTGCGGTGTCTGTTCAAGCAGTTCAGTCTTGGGTTTGCCCTTTTCTCGTTCTGTGTTTTCATTCTTAGTTTTTTGTGGCACTTCAGACACCACGTCTGGTTTAGTTGTATTTTTCACAGGCAGCGCATCAGTTAACTTAAGGCCTTGTGATTTTGTGACACTCTTTCTAGCTGGTGTCCTCTTAACAGCTACATGTTGACTTTTCACCTTTGTAGATATAGGGTTGACCTCTAAGAGAGTATTTTTGACCTCTGCACTTTGACCTTTGGTTGCGCTCTTCATTTGGATTGCCTTAGAATCCACAACAAATCTCTCCCTCACTTTCTTCACTTTTCTCTCCACTGCTAACGGTTGGCTTTTCTGTGCAGACGGACAGAGTTTGGACTTGGCCTTGCTAATGTCCCCTATGCTGGAGGGCTGGGCAGGGACAGCCTTCGGCTCAGCAGGCTTTATCTCCTCCAGAGCCATAATGAGGTTCTCCTTGCCACTGCCTTTGCCCTGGGCAGCCCTGTGGCGCGGTCTCTTCTCTACCACCAGAGACCTGTCACTGGAGCTCCTCAGCAGCTCTGTGGGCAGTGCCCGCCGCGGGCTGGGATCCACCCTCCTAGGGGTACAGAGTTCTGGCTGTTCCCCAGCCTTACCATACCCTTTCACAAGCTTACCCTTCCTCTATCACCAGCGCCAGAAAGCAGAGGATGAAAAAAATATGAAAGTGTTAGAGGAAAATAGTAAACATGCATACAGAGAAAACAGAGTGAAGAACTCAATGGAACTCAATGCTGAAAGAAACATACAGAGAGATGGTGGATAGTCACTGTAAATGGTACAGGGAAGTAGAATGCCTAGCGTGACAGAAATTAAACTGTACGCCCTAAGTTCCTCAGTCAGATCGTCCCTTATTCAGGAACACTGATATTGATAATAGTGAGTAATTTTGCAAGGAGCCTGCTGGTCGGTATGCAGAAGCAGCTTGATCATACTAAGAAAAATCCTTAGTTGACCGTTATACTGAGTATGCGTCTTACCTTCTGCACAGGGGACAACGTCAACATCTTGTCACTGGGGTCCATTTTCATCACATGAGTCTGCCACAAAGAAGAAGAGATTTTTGTTCAGAACTTTTGTATGAATGCACCACAGAATGTACAGGACAGAATTGGATCAGAGTTGGTGACTCACCATGTTGAGGAAGTCTGTGGTGTCTCCCAGATCTTTAACACTCTCGTTGTCCATCATGTTCTCCACAGCGCTGCCTTCTACCTCATCTCTTCCCTTCTCCTCTGACCTCTTTTCTGCCATCAACAAAATATCACAAGAATCTTGACTTCTTAAAAGGAATATACAGTGGGGGAAAAAAGTATTTAGTCAGCCACCAATTGTGCAAGTTCTCCCACTTAAAAAGATGAGAGAGGCCTGTAATTTTCATCATAGGTGCACGTCAACTATGACAGACAAATTGAGAAGAAAAAATCACATTGTAGGATTTTTAATGAATTTATTTGCAAATTATGGTGGAAAATAAGTATTTGGTCACCTACAAACAAGCAAGATTTCTGGCTCTCACAGACCTGTAACTTCTTCTTTAAGAGGCTCCTCTGTCCTCCACTCGTTACCTGTATTAATGGCACCTGTCTGAACTTGTTATCAGTATAAAAGACACCTGTCCACAACCTCAAACAGTCACACTCCAAACTCCACTATGGCCAAGACCAAAGAGCTGTCAAAGGACACCAGAAACAAAATTGTAGACCTGCACCAGGCTGGGAAGACTGAATCTGCAATAGGTAAGCAGCTTGGTTTGAAGAAATCAACTGTGGGAGCAATTATTAGGAAATGGAAGACATACAAGACCACTGATAATCTCCCTCGATCTGGGGCTCCACGCAAGATCTCACCCTGTGGGGTCAAAATGATCACAAGAACGGTGAGCAAAAATCCCAGAACCACACGGGGGGACCTAGTGAATGACCTGCAGAGAGCTGGGACCAAAGTAACAAAGCCTACCATCAGTAACACACTACGCCGCCAGGGACTCAAATCCTGCAGTGCCAGACGTGTCCCCCTGCTTAAGCCAGTACATGTCCAGGCCCGTCTGAAGTTTGCTAGAGTGCATTTGGATGATCCAGAAGAGGATTGGGAGAATGTCATATGGTCAGATGAAACCAAAATATAACTTTTTGGTAAAAACTCAACTCGTCGTGTTTGGAGGACAAAGAATGCTGAGTTGCATCCAAAGAACACCATACCTACTGTGAAGCATGGGGGTGGAAACATCATGCTTTGGGGCTGTTTTTCTGCAAAGGGACCAGGACGACTGATCCGTGTAAAGGAAAGAATGAATGGGGCCATGTATCGTGAGATTTTCAGTGAAAACCTCCTTCCATCAGCAAGGGCATTGAAGATGAAACGTGGCTGGGTCTTTCAGCATGACAATGATCCCAAACACACCGCCCGGGCAACGAAGGAGTGGCTTCGTAAGAAGCATTTCAAGGTCCTGGAGTGGCCTAGCCAGTCTCCAGATCTCAACCCCATAGAAAATCTTTGGAGGGAGTTGAAAGTCTGTGTTGCCCAGCGACAGCCCCAAAACATCACTGCTCTAGAGGCGATCTGCATGGAGGAATGGGCCAAAATACCAGCAACAGTGTGTGAAAACCTTGTGAAGACTTACAGAAAACGTTTGACCTGTGTCATTGCCAACAAAGGGTATATAACAAAGTATTGAGAAACTTTTGTTATTGACCAAATACTTATTTTCCACCATAATTTGCAAATAAATTCATTAAAAATCCTAAAATGTGATTCTCTGGAGAAAAAAAATCTCATTTTGTCTGTCATAGTTGACGTTTACCTATGATGAAAATTACAGGCCTCTCTCATCTTTTTAAGTGAGAGAACTTGCACAATTGGTGGCTGACTAAATACTTTTTTCCCCCACTGTATAGGCTCAAGGAAAGTTAGGAAACAGTTGAACAGTTGCAGTGTGATGTGCTAAATAAAAAAAGGAACATGCTAGCTGTTGTAAATGTAACGCTTCAGTCCCAAATATGTGTGTTTTCTAAATAGTTCAACATTCAAAACAGATATGCCTGCAATGTAATGCAATGTAGTTCAGTGTATATACCCTTCTTGATAGACCCAGTGCTCCTGTGTTGGTGAACGCCGTTGTGCACCTTTCTGTTGGTTAGCTCCTTGGGGGGCAGGCTGGAGGGGATGGTCTGGCTGGACACAGGCAGGGGTGTGGAGGTATTGAGGTAGCCGGACGTCAGGGGAGGCAGGGTCCGGAACATGAGCCCAAACTGCTCCGGGGAACGCTCCTGAAACACAGAACACAGGGTTAGTTAGCTTACTTACAGTACCAGGCAAACGTTTGAACACATCTACTCATTCAAGGGTTTTTCTTTATTTTTACAATTTTCTACATTGTAGAATAATAGTGAAGACATCAAAACTATGAAATAATCCATATGGAATCATGTAGTAACCAAAAAAGTGTTAAACAAATCAAAATATATTTTATATTTGAGATTCTTCAAAGTAGCCACCCTTTGCCTTGATGACAGTTTTGCACACTCTTAGCATTCTCTCAACCAGCTTCATGAGATAGTCACCTGGAATGCTTTTCCAACAGTCTTGAAGGAGTTCCCACATATGCTGAGCACTTGTTGGCTGCTTTTCCTTCACTCTGCTGTCCAACTCATCCCAAACCATCACAAATGGGTTGAGGTCGGGTGATTGTGGGGGCCAGGTCATCTGATGCAGCACTCCATCACTCTCCTTGGTCAAATAGCCCTTACATAGCCTGGAGGTGTGTTGGGTCATTGTCCTGTTGAAAAACAAATTATTGTCCCAATAAGCGCAAACAAGATGGGATGGCATTTCGCGGTAGAATGCTGTGGTAGCCATGCTGGTTAAGTGTGCCTTAAATTCAAAATAAATCACTGACAATGTCACCAGCAAAGCACCCTCACACCTCCTCCTCCATGCTTCACGGTGGGAACCACACATGCGGAGATAATCCGTTCACCTACTCCGCGTCTCACAAAAACATGGCGGTTGGAACTAAAAATCTCAAATTTGGCCTCAAAGCACGGATTTCCACCGGTCTAATGTCCATTGCTCGTGTTTCTTGACCCAAGCAAGTCTCTTCTTCTTATTGGTGTCCTTTGGTAGTGGTTTCTTTGCAGCAATGAAGTTCAAGTTAATCAGACCACGAAGGCCTGATTCACGCAGTCTCCTCTGAACAGTTGATGTTGAGATGTGTCTGTTAACTTGAACTCTGTGAAGCATTTATTTGGGCTGCAATCTGAGGTGCAGTTAAGTCTAATGAACTTATCCTCTGCAGCAGACGTAACTCTGGGTGTTCCTTTCCTGTGGCGGTCCTCATTAGAGCCAGTTTCATCATGGCGCTTGATGGTTTTTGCGACTGCACTTGAAAAAACTTTCAAAGTTCTTGAAATGTTCCGTATTGACTGACCTTCATTTCTTAAAGTAATGATAGACTGTCGTTTCTCTTTGCTTATTTGAGCTGTTCTTGCCATAATATGGACTTGGTCTTTTACCAAATAGGGCTATCTTCTGTATACCCCCCTACCTTGTCACAACACAACTGATTGGCTCAAACGCATTAAGAAGGAAAGAAATTCCACAAATTAACTTAAGGCACACCTGTTAATTGAAATGCATTCCAGGTGACTACCTCATGAAGCTGGTTGAGATAATGCCAAGAGTGTGCAAAGCTGTCACCAAGGCAAAGGGTGGCTATTTGAAGAATCTCAAATATAAAATATATTTTGATTTGTTTAACACTTTTTTGGTTATTTCATAGTTTTGATGTCTTCACTATTATTCTACAATGTAGAAAATAGTACAAATAAAGAATGACCCTGGAATGAGTAGGTGTGTCCAAACTTTTGCTGGTACTGTATATCCACTCCTTGTTAGGCCCATGATTAGGCCCCATGTTGTTACTTATATCCACTACTTGTTAGGCCCATGATTAGGCCCCATGTTGTTACTTATATCCACTCCTTGTTAGGCCCATGATTAGGCCCCATGTTGTTACTTATATCCACTCCTTGTTAGGCCCATGACTAGGCCCCATGTTGTTACTTATATCCACTACTTGTTAGGCCCATGATTAGGCCCCATGTTGTTACTTATATCCACTCCTTGTTAGGCCCATGATTAGGCCCCATGTTGTTACTTATATCCACTACTTGTTAGGCCCATGATTAGGCCCCATGTTGTTACTTATATCCACTACTTGTTAGGCCCATGATTAGGCCCCATGTTGTTACTTATATCCACTACTTGTTAGACCCATGATTAGGCCCCATGTTGACAGTGCTAGAAGGTGTAGAATGTCTAGTTAGGGATCTCCTTAGAGAACCAGGCCACTTACATTAACACACTTAAGTACTGACTCAATAGCAACATCCCAGGGACCTGTGGCGGTTCAGGGACTGGATGTTGAGACTCCCAACACTCCCACCTTTACATGTGTGGATCCCCAGGCCAGTACCCAGTACCCACCCTCTCTCTCCTCCTGACCCGGGCAGAGAGGCTACGGTTCAGGGTAGCAGGGGTGGAGTTGAGGGTGTCCCCTAGGAGCTCTGTGTAGGACTTCTCCAGGTAGTCCTCTGTGACATCATCCTCCTCCAGAGTCACCTCCTGACAGCTCTTGTTTCTGGGCTTGGCTAGAACCAGCATGTGACAACCTCCACATGTCACCTGGAACACGGACAAAATGAAATTGACCTCAATCCTGCACTAGACAAATGGATACGAGAAGACTAAACGTCCAACTATCCTCACTTTGTTATGCTTTCAGGGAAAAATCTAAACTTGAGATAAATGTGCAGAACTTTAAATGTGACATCAGCCATGCAATGATGTCAAAGGGAAATTCTCAAGTTACAATTCAGCCATCAGTTGAAAACATGAGGTACATACTGCTTGGACATTGTACTTGAGGAAGCGTGGACACAGAGTGGGCTTGAATTGATTGGTGAAGTTCTCCTCTCCCAGACCCAGCTTCCCATGTCTCCCGTCCCCAAAGGTATAGAGAAGACCACTGTCTGAAACCATGACAACCACATGTCAATCAACTTAACAGAAGCAAGCAATGTTATCATGGCAAATGGCAATAGAGGTTATTTATAAAATGCTAGCACCACTGTTGTATAAAAGTTAGCACATTGACAATGTCTTTGTAACGTTTTCTGAATTATAACTGTTTGGGGGGGGGGGGGGGGGGGGGATTGGGTCCGCTAGGCCTGTTTACCTGTGATGACAGCAGTGTGGTTCTCCCCACACATCACCTGTCGTACTCGTCCCTTCCTGAAGTGATCCACCGCTCTGGGTAGCCTCGCCTCAAAGATACAGGTCCCCTGGCCCAGCTGACCAAACTGACCCAGGCCAAAGGTGTACAGGTCCTCATCTAGAGCCAAATCAGACCGGTAGGCAGATATTGTAAATAAACATTTGTTCTTAACTGACTTGCCTAGTTAAATAAAATAAAAAATATATAAACAAAATAGAGTCAAATCAAACACAGCGCTACATGGTTAACACACCATCTCCTGATGCTTTGTGCCATAGAGAAAAACCCCAGACTGTTTCTTTATGCATATAAAACAAAGTAGTGCACAACCACAAACAGGTACAACATTAAATTATAACAATGTGCATGTATACTTTACAGTACCTAACTTCACTATTTGGATAAATACGTGCATTTTAAGGACACTTTCAAAGTGGGACCAAAACTTGTTCATGGGATTTGCTGGAAGCCACAGCCTTGTGAGAGTCAACTGTCCACTGGTTGACACCAAGCTGCCTACCTGTCACAGCCACGGTGTGCCCGCCTCCACATGCCACCTGGGTCACCCGGTCTGTGATGCCCTTCACCAGCTGGGGCACACGGTGTCCATCCAGCTGACCCGTGGCCAGGCCCAGTTTGCCGCTGTCGCGCTCCCCAAACGTGTACAGGCCCCCGTCAACTGTGACAAAATAGATTCCCTGTTGATTAATTGCATTAACATATTTACCTATTCTTACATCTATACCTAGACATTATTCTACCAACCCAAGAAAACCTCTTCAAACACGATGGGTTAACTCCCTATTCCCACAAAGTTGTGGAATCATGTGACATGCCATGTTGACAGTGCTGAAGTAGGCTATGTCATTGTCCTCTCACCAGTGACCAAGGCAGAGTGGTAGTACCCACAGGACACCCAGGCCACTGGCCGACCCACAGTGACCTCCTGGGGGGTCAGGGCACTGCTCTCCTTCCCCAGGCCGATCTGACCCTCGGTGTTGTCACCCCACATGAACAGCTTCCCACTCTCTAGAACAAGGACATCATCACAGTGATTAGTTCCAGCAAAAACCAGGTGAGGAGGAGCAACAGAAATACAGACAGTCGATAGTAAAGAAGTGCAACTGTTGTTTTATTCGATGGTCATCAGTAAAAAATTGAAATCACTTGTCATCAATATGAACCAGAACACACTCATAGTTGTAACTCAGAGGTTGTGACTTACAGTGAGGGAAAAAAAGTATTTGATCCCCTGCTGATTTTGTACGTTTGCCCACTGACAAAGACATGATCAGTCTATAATTTTAATGGTAGGTTTATTTGAACAGTGAGAGACAGAATAACAACAAAAAAATCCAGAAAAACGCATGTCAAAAATATGTTATAAATCGATTTACATTTTAATGAGGGAAATAAGTATTTGACCCCTCTGCAAAACATGACTTAGTACTTGGTGGCAAAACCCTTGTTGGAAATCACAGAGGTCAGAAATTTCTTGTAGTTGGCCACCAGGTTTGCACACATCTTAGGAGGGATTTTGTCCCACTCCTCTTTGCAGATCTTCTCCAAGTCATTAAGGTTTCGAAGCTGACGTTTGGCAACTCGAACCTTCAGCTCCCTCCACAGATTTTCTATGGGATTAAGGTCTGGAGACTGGCTAGGCCACTCCAGGACCTTAATGTGCTTCTTCTTGAGCCACTCCTTTGTTGCCTTGGCCGTGTGTTTTGGGTCATTGTCATGCTGGAATACCCATCAACGATCCATTTTCAATGCCCTGGCTGAGGGAAGGAGGTTCTCACCCAAGATTTGACGGTACATGGCCCCGTCCATCGTCCCTTTGATATGGTGAATTGTCCTATCCCCTTAGCAGAAAAACACCCCCAAAGCATAATGTTTCCACCTCCATGTTTGACGGTGGGGATGGTGTTCTTGGGGTCATAGGCAGCATTCCTCCTCCTCCAAACACGGCGGGTTGAGTTGATGCCAAAGAGCTCGATTTTGGTCTCATCTGACCACAACACTTTCACCCAGTTCTCCTCTGAATCATTCAGATGTTCATTGGCAAACTTCAGACCTGCCTGTATATGTGCTTTCTTGAGCAGGGGGACCTTGCGGTCGCTGCAGGATTTCAGTCCTTCACAGCGTAGTGTGTTACCAATTGTTTTCTTGGTGACTATGGTCCCAGCTGCCTTGAGATCATTGACAAGATCCTCCTGTGTAGTTCTGGGCTGATTCCTCACCGTTCTCATGATCATTGCAACTCCACGAGGTGAGATCGTGCATGGAGCCCCTGGCCGAGGGAGATTGACAGTTATTTTGTGTTTCTTCCATGTGCGAATAATCGCACCAATGGTTGTCACCTTCTCACCAAGCTGCTTGCCGATTGTCTTGTAGCCCATTCTAGCCTTGTGTAGGTCTACAATCTTGTCCCTGACATCCTTGGAGAGCTCTTTGGTCTTCGCCATGGTGGAGAGTTTGGAAACTGATTGATTGATTCTGTGGACAGGTGTCTTTTATACAGGTAACAAGCTGAGATTAGGAGCACTCCCTTTAAGAATGTGCTCCTAATCTCAGTTCGTTACCTGTATAAAAGACACCTGGGAGACAGAAATCTTTCTGATTGAGAGGGGGTCAAATACTTATTTCCCTCATTAAAATGCTAATCAATTTATAACATTTTTGACATACGTTTTTCTGGATTTTTTTGTTGTGATTCTGTCTCTCACGGTTCAAATAAATACCATTAAAATTATAGACTGATAATTTCTTTGTCAGTGGGCAAACGTCAAACTCAGCAGGGGATCAAATACTTTTTTCCCTCACTGTACAATGGGAAAGTCTTACCTGTGAGGGCAGCAGAGGTGTTGGAGCCGGCAGCAAGCATTTTGATTGGTCCATGTGAACTAAAGAAGTCCACCAATTGGAAGGCTGTCCTCTCCTCACAGTCTCCCAGACCTAGCTGACCTTCGTTGTTTCCACCGGTAGAGTACACGTTTCCCTGAGCTGTGGACAAGACACACATTAATCACTCTCAGTTCTACTACAACAAGGATTACAATATAAAAGTTAAAGGCCCAGTGCAGTCAAAAACGTTTATTTCTCTCTCTATATATATTTTTATATATATATAAATCACACTACAAGTCAAAAGTTTGGACACACCTACACATTATTTCTTTATTTTTACAGTTTTTTTACATAGTTGAATAATAGTGAAGACATCAAAACTATGAAATAACACATATCCCGTGTAGCATGGCGTTTGCAACGCCAGGGTTGTGGGTTCGATTCCCACGGGGGGCCAGTATGAAAAATGTATGCACTCACTAACTGTAAGTCGCTCTCGATAAGAGCGTCTGCTAAATGACTAAAATGTCAAATGTAAATATGGAATCATGTAGTAACCAAAAAAAGTGTTAAACAAATCTAAATATATTTGAGATTCTTTAAATAGCCACTCTTTGCCTTGATGACAGCTTTGCACACTCTTGGCATTCTCTCAACTAGCTTAATGACGTAGTCACCAGGAATTCATTTCAATTAACAGGTGTGCCTTGTTAATTTGTGGAATTTCTTTCCTTCTTAACGCAAAGTTTCTTCAAGTGCAGTTGCAAAAACCATCAAGCGCTATGATGAAACTGGCTCTCATGATGACCGCCACAGGAATGGAAGACCCAGAGTTACCTTTGCTGCAGAGGATAAGTTCATTAGAGTTACCAGCCTCAGAAATTGCAGCCCAAATAAATGCTTCACAGAGTTCAAGTCACAGACACATCAACATCAACTGTTCAGAGGGGACTGTGTGAATCAGGCCTTCATGATCGAATTGCTGCAAAGAAACCACTACTATCTCCAAATTGAAGATTTTTGGTTCCAACAGCCGTGTCTTTGTGAGACGCGGTGTGGGTGAACGGATGATCTCCGCATGTGTAGTTCCCACCGTAAAGCATGGAGGAGGAGGTGTTATGGTGTGGGGGTGCTTTGCTGGTGACACTGTCTGTGATTTATTTAGAATTCAAGGCACACTTAACCAGCATGGCTACCACAGCATTCTGCAGCGATATGCCATCCCATCTGGTCTGGGCTTAGTGGGTCTTTCATTAGTTTTTCAACAGGACAATGACCCAACACAACTCCAGGCTGTGTAAGGGCTATTTTACCAAGAAGGAGAGTGATCGAGTTCTGCATCAGATGACCTGGCCTCCACAATCCCCCGACCTCAACCCAATTGAGATGGTTTGGGATGAGTCGGATTTCAGAGTGAAGGAAAAGCAGCCAACAAGTGCTCAGCATATGTGGGAACTCCTTCAAGACTGTTGGAAAAGCATTCCAGGTGAAGCTGGTTGAGAGAATGCCAAGAGTGTGCAAAGCTGTCATCAAGGCAAATGGTGGCTATTTGAAGAATCTCAATTATAAAAAAATTGTTTAACACTTTTTTGGTTACTACATGATTCCATATGTGTTATTTCATAGTTTTGATGTCTTCGCTATTATTCTACAATGTTGAAAATAGTAAATATAAAGAAAAACCCTCGAATGAGTAGGTGTGTCCAAACTATAGAACACACCTACTCATTCAAGGGTTTTTCTTTATATTTCAGGGGTATATACACACACACACCACACACACACACACAGCTGTATATATTTCCACACTGAGGTTGGAATAATACTATGAAATTGTGAAAATTATGATAATGCCCTTTTAGTGTAAGTGCTGTTTGAAAAGACCGCCTGAAATGTCTGCCTGTTGTGGTGGGATGGAGTTTTGGCCTGCCTGGTGACATCACCAGGTGGTAAATGAGTTCATTAATAGACCAATAAGAAAGAGAGTTCCAAACCTCTCTGCCAATAAAGTCTACAGTCCTAGCAAAATTCTTGCTAAGAAGCTATTTTTTAATTCTTATTTTTCACCATTTTAATTGAAAACAATCACAGTAAGGTACTTATGTTACCCAGAAATGATTTGATATTGCGATAAAAACAGCTCTATTGGACCTTTAAAATGAATTGATCACAAACTTGGTAAAAGGCCTACACCTTGCAAGACACAAAGAGTCAACTTTCACCTAGTAATTGGATCATACTTTGGTACCCGTCATCATTTATACTGTACCTGTGGTCATAACTGTGTACTTACACGTGTAAACTGTAGTGTGATTTCTTCCGCAGGCTGCAAGCCGCACCTTTTCAGACTTCAAAGCTTAGAGAAAGACAAGAAGGAGAAAGACAGTCGTTTTCAGATTGCAGTCAACCACAATAGCAGGCCATCCCTCGCTCTCTCTCTCCTCTGCTGCCCTCCTGCTCGGGAGATTAGATTATTACAGATTACAGACCCCTCCAGATTGGGGTTACAGCAGTGACAAATCTCTGTCTTTGTCTCCTGCTACTAGTATACCCGTTCACATTTTTTTTAAACAACAGCATCGACACTTAGTTTAAGCCACAGACATTGGGACATTTGATTTTAGTGGCTATATTGTCTGTTTCCCACCCTCCCTGCTCCCTCTTGTCTAGTACATTCAAGGGGAGATAAGCAGCTGTGTATGCCAGCAATACAAGAGAGCACTGCTTTTGAACCATACAAAAGAGAGAGCAATTTAGACCAACCTTTCACACAAGTGGGCTTGTTCACCATGGTCTTTGATCCCAAACCCAGCTGACCCCAGTTATTACTGCCAAACATGAAAAGCTTGCCATTCTCTGTTGAAAAATAAATAAATAACATCACTTGAGGAAGCTACAGGAACAGGGACATGAATATTATAATAGCAGCTGCAGGTGAGCAGCATTTCATTTGCTTAAAAATGGACTTGAAATGTGTGATAGAGTGTGTTAGCAAAATAAATGTATCTTATTTCAGATGTTCTTCCGAATTGCAGGCCTATTGTCATATGGCTCTGATCACTACTATCAATTTGAAAACGTCATCAGTCACTGACCTGTTATCAATGCCGTGTGCTCATCCCCACAGGAGATGTTCAGTGGTACATCATTTTTCAGCCAAAATTTACTGGGGACGTTATCTGCAAATTTGCTTTTTCCAAAGGTGAAGACTGCTCCCGTTTCTGTTAGAACACAAACAACAACGATCACATCTCAAATAGCTAGCTAGCCGGCTAATAATACACAGTGATGGCTAGATGGGATACAAATTGACGTCAAAAGTTGCATTTTAGCTAACCCAACCTTACAAAAGGTTCAATTCAGACTTTTTTTTTCTTTTTTTCATCTCAATATCAAATAATTTTTGGGTAACAATGAAGTACCTTACTGTGGTTGTTTTCAAATAAAATGGTCAAAAATAAACAGTTATAGTTAACAAATACTAGCAAAGTGCAATTTCTCAAACAATAATTTTACTAGGACTTTCGGCGTGGTCTGAGTGGGGAGGGGAAAACTGAAAACTAGCTGTTATTGGCAGAGATGTGGAACTCTCTTCCTTATTGGTCTATTAACTAATTTACCCCCAAACTCCATCCCACCAAAACAGGCTGAAATTTCAGGTGGACATTTTCAAACAGCTCTTGAACTAAAATGACATCATCATAATTTCCACAATTTCACAGTATAATTGCAACCTCATGGTGTGGAAATATATATATTTAAAAAACAGGGAAATCACGTTGACTGCACTGGGCCTTTAACCCAATTCTCCTAACCACCTACTAAAAGTCTACTCTGACATAAACTGTATCCAATCTAGTGAAAACCATAATACAGCACCAAAAGCTAATTTAGCTAGTTAGCTACCTGTTAACCACATTATCAAATATACTTTTCCCTTTTGTCTGTGACATTATTCTTCAGGACACACGTAAACAACGGCGCACATGGAGGCTGTCACTTGTTGACAGCTTGTTAGCTCATTTTCACTAGTGCTATCTTGGCTGGCTACTTTGCTTATGCAGCGTGCTAGTTTACGTTTGCTAGCACACTAGCTACCGTTAGCAAGCGATATATTTCATATTCATCCCGAAACGTTTGCAAACGGGCGAATAATGTAACTAGCTAACGTTAGCTATATAGCTAGCTGTCTTACCAGGTATCTCGTCTTCTGTCTCCCCTGCCATCGTAGTGTCAAATCGGCTTAGCAACTACACTACACAGAGTTGGCTGCTTCTCCGCTTGTTGTGTGTTGTTTTCGTCCGAAACAACCCGGATGTAAACAACATTTCACCTGTAGCAACCAAGGCTGCGTTTCATATCAAATATGAGTCGCTCCCTCCCCTGTGCCATTTGTTCAGTCCCCCTCGCACATCTGGGGCGTCTGTTGAAAGCAAATTGTAGAAATAATGTTTACATTTTGCTTACATTCATCCAGTGGTCTCAGATCTGAAGGCGAATGAAGCAGGGCAGAGGGGAGGAAGCATATTTTTTAACTGAAACCCAGCCCAGGGATCAACTTCTAAAGCGCAACCACACGTTACGTTCCATTGCTCAACGAATGGTTGCGTGCAACGTCATCGATTGTGTCATCGACTGACAGATTGCCAAAACATTATGATGTGGTTAGCTGATATGTAAAATACCTGTCCAGGCGTTGTAATATCTGGCAGGCTTCAGGAACGCCTGGGCAGAAGAAGGTGCGGATAGATAGAAGGAGGGTTAGTTAGTTACCAGCATCTTTGGTGCAGTCATTGCCAGGGGTGTATTCATTAGTTGGATACCGTTTACTCCAAACGTAAAACCAATACTTTTTATTGGACAAATTCAGGTAGGCCCCTCCCCGTTTCGTTCAAAACGTTTTGCAACAGACAAGCAACTGAATCAACTAATGATACACCCATGGTCAAAGATGGTTTTAACTATGTGGCTAGGTTTCCCTTAGTCTGGCTATAACACCTAACTCTCGAAGTCCTCCTGACTTCACAGTTAGCCTGGACAAGGTTAACTGAACTATTAGACTATGTTTGTGGAGCCTACGCCCCCTTTGGTTGCTAAGATCTTTCCCTTGCAGGTTCACAATAAGTTGCTATCTCAAGCATCTCACATGGAACACCAGCCTGTAAATTCTGTTACCAGTCTGTGAACTCTTTTCACACCTAGTCAGATGATCACATGAGCTTTAGTCACTCTCCAAATGGCAAGACCTCCACAGCCAACCATTTTGCTTTTACATTAAGCAAAATACTTTAATTTGTGGCTTAATTTCTTTCCAATAGTTGGACCCCTAATAGTTGTTTTATTATTAAGTGCAATAAATAGGCTTTGTCTTATTTAGTGTTATAATGTTTTTGCATGTACTTTCACATCAAATGCAACTCATTTTTTCAAAAAATGATGAAATTACTTTGTTACACCTGTTATATACACCCCATAATAATCATTGATCAGGGTTTTCACAGTAACCCGTGAACCCCGCCAGAGGGCGCATGGAGAGGACCGAGGCGTGTAGAACGGCCTGCAGCTCATTCATTTACAGCCAGTGAGGAGAGAGCGACTGCGCTGTGAAAGACTGCGGGTGATCAACTGAACCAACGAAGCCCAGTGGAGAATCACAGCAACGCAGCCCCACTGAAAACCCAGTGCCCCATTTTACTATAGAATGGCATCAAGAAGAATGGAGACCAAACCAGTGATAACCTGCCTCAAAACGCTCCTCGTCGTCTATTCCTTCGTGTTTTGGGTAAGCAGACATGACAAAACGATAGTTTATTGTCGTCCTAAATGTCATATTTAGGTAATAATCTAGTTTGTAAACGGTATGATTGAATAGTTTACGTTGAAAAAAACGGATGTTATGCCGTGCGCACCGGGCTGCTGCCTTGGAACAAGTGCATGTTTATTGGTGGGAGCGCTGTGTGGACCGTTATCTTTATTATAGGCTAGCATTATTGTAACGTTTGAGAATTGTTTTTCTGTAAGTTAGGAAATATATTTGTATCAAGTAGGCTATAAATATTGAAACAAATGTTTACTATGTGAAACGTCATTAATTATTTTTTAGCTGATGCTGACGAAGCCCTCCGTTTTTACATAGATTCATTTTCCTGTGATTTTGTAAGTGGATACTGACATTCGCATGCTATTGTAAGAATGTTAAGCAGAGGCCAACAGGTAACTTAATCAACATCTGGTCACACTTTATTTGGATAGTCCGGATTTTTCATCCGTAGATGCTCTACAGATGGTCATACTATCAACAAACTATCTGTTGATAAGCAACTGCTTCATAAGGTTACGGTTATGTTTAGAATAACGGTTTGGGTTAATTTTTGAATAAGGGTTAAGGCTATCGTTACGTAAGTGTTAAGGTTTTTATTTTTGTTTAACTAGGCAAGTGAGTTAAGAACAAATTCTTATTTACAAAGACGGCCTACACCGGCCAAACCCGGACAACGCTGTGCCAATTGTGCGCCGCCCTATGGGACTCCCAATCACGGCCGGTTGTGGTTGTGATACAGCCTGGAATCGAACCAGGGGGTCTGTAGTGACGCCTCAAGCACTGAGATGCAGTGCCTTAGACCGCTGCGCCACTCGGGAGCCCTACTCTCATCAGTCTGAGGGTTAGGGTTAGGGTTAGGGTTAGGGTTAGGGTTAGGGTTAGGGCTAGGGCTAGGGCTAGGGCTAGGGTTAGGGTTAGTAGATAGTTAGATGAAATGTTACTGATAGCCTGTAGATAGTCTGTAGAGCATCTACAGATGGACTATCCAAATAATGTGATACCCAACATCCTTGCATCAAATGGTGGCAGATTCTCAAAGTACCATGATGGACACTGTGGAGATTAAAGCACGTGCAAACTCTCCTGCGGCACCACCCCAATTTGTTGAATTAAGTGTGTGAGAGAGACAGAGTCCTGTTGGGTGTTATGCCTCTTATTTATTGAGATAGCCTATAATTGTCGCACTGTATTGGATGAATGATCTTATTGCTTTTCAAGAAGGAAATTCTTTCCAGACAAGGGGTAAATTACCCAGGTTGTAACCTATCCCAGGCCAGTAGGCTACAGCTATTTTAGCACAGGGCTGGGCATGGCCTCTCTCTGCATTTACATACATGGGTCCATATGGAATATATGCTTCAGACTGATGAGAGCAGGCGTGGCTCAGTCAGTCCCATAGGTTAGTGGGGCTGGAGTCCCTTACACAAGGCATAGCTGGGAGGATCTACCTAAATGTGCTTCTGTTCTTATTGGAGCATCAGTAAGGCAGTTAGGCAGAACCCACACCTCCCATCAGCGAACACATATTTCCAGCTATAATCTCATCCATCCATCCATCCATCCATCCATCCATCCATCCATCCATCCATCCCCTCTATTATGTCTGTCTGTGAACCACATTCTCTGTGGTTGCGTCCCAAATGGCACCCTATTCCCTATATAGTGCACTACTTTTGACCAGGGCCAGTGTCTGTCCCTCAACCCCTTCTCCATCCGTGGCCAAGGGGGTCTGAATAATACCTTGCCAACCTCTGTGCAGTCCATATCTGCAAGGGGACATACAGAAATAGGCTTTCATGTTTCATCTTTCTCACAGGATAACAACATGTGTCGTCACAGGATCAATCATGATTGCTCGGGATGAGGTTTTTGTCACCTCCTTTGTAGTGAATGAAAGGATGGTGATGGTGGTGGTGGTGGTGGTTAGGGGGGAGGGGATTTGATCCCTGAACTGACATGTCATCGATGTAGGCTACCTAGTCCACTTTAGATTGATGCCATGGCTGCTGGTAACAGTTGGGCTGTGGGCTGCTGGTAACAGTTGGGCTGTGGGCTGCTGGTATTAGTTGGGCTGTGGGCTGCTGGTAACAGTTGGGCTGTGGGCTGCTGGTAACAGTTGGGCTGTGGGCTGCTGGTAACAGTTGGGCTGTGGGCTGCTGGTATTAGTTGGGCTGTGGGCTGCTGGTAACAGTTGGGCTGTGGGTTGCTGGTAACAGTTGGGCTGTGGGCTGCTAGTAACAGTTGGGCTGTGGGCTGCTGGTAACAGTTGGGCTGTGGGCTGCTGGTAACAGTTGGGCTGTGGGCTGCTGGTAACAGTTGGGCTGTAGGCTTCTGGTAACAGTTGGGCTGTGGGCTGCTGGTAACAGTTGGGCTGTGGGCTGCTGGTATTAGTTGGGCTGTGGGTTGCTGGTAACAGTTGGGCTGTGGGCTGCTAGTAACAGTTGGGCTGTGGGCTGCTGGTATTAGTTGGGCTGTGGGCTGCTGGTAACAGTTGGGCTGTGGGTTGCTGGTAACAGTTGGGCTGTGGGTTGCTGGTAACAGTTGCGAATGTCCTCCACATGCTTTTTTTGTTTGTTCCTCAAGCAAGGGGGGAGGCCGATGACATCACAACTTCCCATCACATTTTGCTCAAAACATATGTGTTTACCCTTTAGTGTGTGTACTTTACTGTATTTATACTTGGGTTATCACTATTCAACAGAAAAAGTGCAAAAATCACTGGAGGAGGTGTTTAAGGAGTACATCAACTACAGGGCATTACCATTTAGACTGTGATTAAACAGAAAGACCCGCTCCTCTGAGATTAATTGCTTAGATTATTGGTAGTGGACTGGTATTGTGTTCACTCTGGGATGCCACGTTACAATACAAGAATGTGGAGGGAGTCGGATACAAATAAAATTGTCTAGTTCATCATGACACAGTAGGATCAGTAATTGTAGTTCTGATCGCTTTTTACATTTTATTCTCTGTGTTTATTAGCTTCTTGAAGTTGGGTTGTGCTTGGAGGGATGTTTGAAGCTATAGGTCCTATGCACAGTGCGACAGCAACAACCTACGTATGTATCTTATTGAATATTATAAACCGGGTGGTTCGAGCCCTGAATGCTGATTGGCTGAAAGTCATGGTATATCAGACCGTATATCACAGGTATGACAAAAAAAATACTTTTTTTTTTTTTTACTGTTCTAATTACATTGGTTATCAGTTTATAATAGCAATAAAGCACCACAGGGGTTTGTGGTATATGGCCAATATACCACGGCTAACGGCTATATCCAGGCACTCCACGTTGCGTCGTGCATAAGAACAGCCCTTAGCCGGGGTATATTGGCCATATACCACACCCCCAAGGTGCCTTATTGCTTAAACAACCAAACCTGACCCACCCACCCTGACCCATCTACCCACCCAGCCAGCCACCCTGAACCCTCCACCCTGACCCATCCTGACCCACCCACCCTGACCCACCCAGCCAGCCAGCCACCTGCTGTAGCTATATTTGTATTGAAATAGACCTGTTCCTCCTCTAACAAACAGACTCCATTGATGTTGACCAGGGGGCCACTTAGACAAAGAAAGCCATATGGCCTGCTTCACTACTTCACTAAACATATTAGAGGCTGTTTTCCTCCCCAGGCAGACAGACAGACATACAAGGATGGACTGCAGAGAGAGACAGATAAACAGAGACAGGATGAGACAGAATGAGACAGAGTGCCACTGCTCTGCTGACTTACTTGTTGTGAGAGCTTGGCAGGGGGAG